CCCCCCTCTCTCTGTCTGAAATCCTGTATTCCCCCCTAGTGAAACCCAGAAAACTGATGAAAAGGAAGACGACAGCAAAGCAAGAAGAAAGTATATTTTATATTGTTACAAAGCATGCTTTACTAGTAACTTATTAAAGGGTTTACCTTTTCTGATTTTTTTAGTTTTTTTTGCAGATATCACACGAATTGTTGGCACTTATTATATGAATTAGGTCTGTTTGCACTGCACAATTGCGGTGTCTCATGTTCATTCATGAACTATCTAAAGTCTTTAAATTAATTTTTCTGGTTCTCACTTTAATAATTATTTTACTTATATATTCTAATTTCAAAACTTCTTTATGGAAAAAATAATCCATATCTGTTCTGTAATAGTTTGATGTTCATTGGTTACAAACATTAACAAACCAACAAAACAGAAAAACCAAATATATACAGGGTGACCCACAAAACATGGATTATAGTTTTTCAGCTATTTTAATCTTTAAAAAGAACTAGAAGAGTTGCTCCAGAATATAGTTTTTAGTTTTAAAATGGGTCCTATATAATCTAATTTTTTGTCGTTCGATCCTTCCACTTGGTGTAAAATTATGTAGAATATTCGAAAATCTCTCGATGTTAACTTCGGTTAACAAATATTGTTAAAGAAACAAAACAAAATTAATTTAAATATCTCAGATTTTTTTCTTTCCGATTATTCGATATAGTTTTACGCCGAACTATATATTCGATATAGTTTTACGCCGAACTATATATTCGATATAGTTTTACGTCGAACTATATATTCGATATAGTTTTACGCCGACCTGTATATTCGATATAGTTTAACGCCGAACTATATATTCGATATATAGTTTTACGCCGAACTATATATTCGATATATAGTTTTACGCCGAACTATATATTAGATATATAGTTTTACGCCGAACTATATATTCGATATAGTTTTACGCCGAACTAAATATTCGATATAGTTTTACGCCGAAATATATATTCGATATAGTTTTACGCCGAACTATAAAGCATCGATCGACAAAATTTGAATTCAACAACCCCTTCTAAATTAAAAACTTTATACAAGAGCAATTTTCAGTGTCATTTTAAAAGATTATTTTCGCTAATCCCTATTTTTTCGGGTCACCCTGTATAATTTTTAATCTGATAGGCATTGAAATTTACTTCAAACACCATATTTTGACTTAAAGTAAAGATTTTTGTTATAATTAAAACAAAGTAGTAATTGTACACCTTGTACACCTTGTTCACACATAAAAGACAGTTTGCCGAAGAATTGTCATTAAGATCCTGAAATAAACAAAATGCCTCGCGCACCTTTTTTCAGATGTTAAATGTTGCTCTTCAAGCGTTTTGCGCGTTTTTAAAGTTTTCCGGACAACATTTTTCATCATTCACCATCCATAAAGCATCCGTGGGGTCATGTGATTTGTCAAATAATAAGTTTTGCCGATTTGACGTTTATTGGAAACAAACAAACAAAGTATATAGATATAGATTATATAAATATGACCGATAGATTGGTCAATTATGTAGATATACCATCAAAGAGAATAGAATATATATTAGAGGGGAATTTAGACAATGAATTTTTTCAGTCCCTTTCAGCCTGAAAGGGAGTTCAAAGTGTACAAATTATGTAAATGTTATCAAAGTATATGCAGTAGAGTACATTAATACAGTATGATATCTAGACCATCAATTAAAATTTCTAATCTTTTTAAATCTGTTAAATAAACTTTATAAAATGAATTAGGTGAGTGAAAAACATCATTTGATTTATAGTTATAATGGAAATCATCGCGTTTGTAAAGAGAAAGGCATAGAGTCTATGTGAAATGATCATTGGTCAATTATGAAACCAGCCTATTTCATAATTTGGTTTTCTTTTAATATTAATCTTAGATTTTCTATAAAATGATGTTCCAGGGCCCAAAAGGTTATATAGCACAAATATGTGAAGTACACCTGCAGTATGGAAACAGTACAACAAAATGGCCGTTTTACACTTTTTTCTAGTAAATTCCCCTCTAATATATATTCTATTCTCTTTGTATACCACGGGCAGCCGTAGTACATTTGAATATCCGAGCCGGGTTAACCTTTCCGTTCCCAGTTTGTACTGTACCTAGCTCTAAGGACAGGACCAGCCGGTGCAACAAGGTTGACGCGGTCTGACTTTATGCTTCATATAGGTTGAATTTACTTTTACTAAAGAGGCAGCTGGGTGCATGATACATTTGTTGTACAGATTATACTCAGTATGTTTACAATTTCAACAAAAGTACAAAAATTAAGTACCCCTTTCCCTCCAAATTATTGTAGTTTAAATATTATCATGAATCTATAAGTATAAAGAAATATAAATGCTTTAAACAGATGTTTTTAAATTTTATCTTTCCAATGTATTTAATATTAACTAACCCCCTCCAATCCAGGTATTCAGAATGAGGGCAGATGCCAAAAATTTTTTTTACCCTTTTCATGTTTTGAAAATAATTCTTTTTTATTTATGAACTTTTTTACTTAAAGCGTTTTTTTGAATGTTTTCAAAATATAATTGAATAATTTTGAGAGTTGTAAAATACTGGTCTGTCTATAGTATCTGTATCAGGGCTTGAACATTAACAGTTGTTTCTACAAGATGGATTCAAATTTCAGTTTTTCAGGTAGAGTCATCAGATATACTGTAGAGTAGTGTAGATTCATCAGATATACTGTAAAGCAGTGTAGAGTCATCAGATATACTGTAGAGCAGTGAAGAGTCATCAGATATACTGTAGAGCAGTGTAGAGTCATCAGATATACTGTAGAGCAGTGTAGAGTCAACGGATATACTGTAGAGCAGTGTAGAGTCAACAGATATACTGTAGAGCAGTGTAGAGTCATCAGATATACTGTAGAGCAGTGTAGATTCATCAGATATACTGAAGAGCAGTGTAGAGTCATCAGATATACTGTAGAGTAGTGTAGAGTCATCAGATATACTGTAGAGCAGTGTAGAGTCATCATATACACTGTAGAGCAGTGTGGAGTCATATGATATACTGTAGAGCAGTTTAGAGTCGTCAGATATTCTGTAGAGCAGTGTAGAGTAATCAGATATATTGTAGAGAAAGTCATCAGATATACTGTAGAGCAGTGTAGAGTCATCAGATATACTGTAGAGCAGTTTAGAGTCATCAGATATACTGTAGAGCAGTGTTCTTGAATTTTTTAAATCGCCGGCTCAGATATACTGTAGAGCAGTGTAGAGTTATCAGATATACTGTAGAGCAGTGTAGAGTCATCAGATATACTGTAGAGCAGTGTAGAGTCATCAGATATACTGTAGAACAGTGTAGAGTCATCAGCTATACTGTAGAGCAGTGAAGAGTAATCAGAAATACTGTAGAGTATTGTAGAGTCATCAGATATACTGTAGAGCAGTGTAGAGTCATCATGTACACTGTAGAGCAGTGTAGAGTCATCAGATATACTGTAGAGCATTGAAGAGTCATCAGATATATTGTAGAGCAGTGTAGAGTCATCATATACACTGTAGAGTAGTGTATAGTCATCATATTCACTGAAGAACAGTGTAGAATCATCATATACACTGCAGAGCAATGAGAATCATCAGATATACTATAGAGCAGTGAAGAGTCATCAGATATACTGTAGTGCAGTGTAGAGTCATAATATACACTGTAGAGCAGTGTAGAGTCATCATGTATACTCTGAACTATAGTCATTAGTTTGAATTCTGAACTGATTATACTGAACTGATACTTAGTTAGAGCTGATTGTCTGATCTGATCATTATTTTGAACTGATGATTAGTTTAAATTTATCATTATTTTTAACTGATAGTCTGTATTTTTTTTTAGTACTTAGACTGACCTAAAATCTGACCTGAGCTTATTTCTGAACTGATAATAAGTTTGAAATGAAAATGATAACTCTGAAACTCCCAATAAAACATGGTAAAATTAAAGTAATAAATACCTTTAGGTATATTGTTTGTACTTGTAGCAAATTTCCTTAAAACTATAATAATAATTAAAAATCATAAATCCAGTACAGAATCCAGTACAGAATCCAGTACAGAATCCAGTACAGAATCCAGTACAGAATCCAGTACAGAATCCAGTACAGAATCAGTTACAAGCACCTGTTTTAGTATGAAATTTACATAGGAAATAAGTTTTTGCCACAAACTCTAATTTTGTAATCACTATATCTTTCCAACCTGGTGGTTTAAACCATTGATATTTCAAACTTAGATTATTTGATCTACCAGAAATCCCATTATGAAAATTTAAGGTCTTCAACATTGGTTTTCAAATCAGAGTTTGTGGCAAACACTCAATTACTTTTAGTTGTTGAAACCAATAATTATGACGGGGTTTCGCCAAATTTTAGTTTTTATACAAGAAATTAGAACAGGGCTTCCTCATTCGAAAACTCAACTTAACTTACATAAACTTTATTTTCAAGTCAACTTCTTACTCTCAGAACATCCTAAAACATTGTAATAAGAAATGAAATAAAATCGTGTAAGTATGATTAATGCAGATGATCAGATAACCAATAATAATACAGTGCTTCTCTTAATAAACCGAAATTTCTGAACACTTCAAAAAGACTTGAAATTCATCATTAATCTTTGAAATAGTTGACAGCATTCATTTGTCGACTTATTTTTATAAATATATTTCATGAAAAAATCATTACAATAAAGCCCTAGTCCTGCCATTTCAAAATGTAGTCTGTCTTATTCGTACTTGTATAAGTATTGGAGATATAAATTATTTTCTTCGGTCAATTTTGGCTTTATTTGATAGATTGGAATTTATAAACTTAATATCTTTTCATTTTGAAAGAAAAAAATGGCAGACCAAAATTTGACAAAAATCACACTAGAGTTATTTTGTAATACAGGGTGTCCCACGAAAAATGACAATAGCAAGACGACTTGAAAGTCGTCTTTGATATTTGAATTTATTTGTGACATTTAGTCTTCTATCTACTTTAACATGTATGATTCTTGAAACAATTATCCCATAATTTTCCTAGCCCTGGCATTTCCAAAAAGTGGTCTGCGTTTTTTGTGCTTTCAATATTACCGGAGATATAAAGAGTTTGGTTCATATTTCAATTTTGTTAAATAAAAGCAAAATTGTCGAAATTATCTCTAGAAATGTACTTTTAAAATTAGGTTGACAAATAAACGCAGCAAATTATATCAAAAATCAAGACGACATTCAAGTCATACTGTCAAGAGCATACTGTCATGTTTCGTGGGACACCCTGAGTTGTTTCATGAAAAATATTTTTAAAATTGGCTGCCAAACGCAGGCCGTAAACTATTTTTAATGTTAGACGACTTTCAAGTCTTTCGCAATTTTTAAGAACCAAGTTTACAATCATAGTATTAAAATCTTTCAGAAAAGTCTTTTTATTTTTGGAGATCTAATCATTAGTAATTAGTTAAAATAATTTTGTAAAACATCTGAGAATTCAGCTGAAAAATATCAATCAATGGATTTAATTGATCATGTATATAACCTAGGCTGGGAGAGCCAATACATAATTATCAAATTATGCGAAAAAAAAACATCTGTAGCTTGAGATTTTTCCTTGATATTTCAGAAAAAAAATGGCGGATGAAAAGAAAGCTGCAACAGCTGAAAAGAAAGTCGAACCTGTGGAAAGCAAAAGCGTGTACACAATCTGCAACTTTCTGTATTTATCCGTACATATCAGCTTATTTGTCATTCTAGGAAATTGCTTTAAAATAACTCAAAAAATGAAGTATTCAATTCATGATCAAGACCTGAAACCCAAATTATGAATGTTTTATCCACTTTCAAAACTAATTATTAATACCTGTGGAATCTCCATTTCTTTTTCATGATAGTTTAAACATTTTTAAAGCAATGAATCTTTAGTTGGAGTAATTGTAAAAGCAGCCGAATTTAGGAAAAAATAGAAAGAACACACCAGCTTTAACATCTTAAGAGCACAAGCACAATTCATTGCTTGAATTTATTGTTTAGATAAAAATTTTATAAGCAGGGTTGCCCACCATGAACAGAGAATTAAATGAAAGTTTTGTGGGTTGAGTTTAATTTTCTGTCTGAAATATATTTTCAATGGTGGGTCACGTGGGTGTGCTTAAAATTTTATAAAGAAAGATGCAAGTTATCAGTTGCAAAGACCTGAAAATGTAAAAATACTTTAAAATCTAATTTTGTTGGTATGATGAAAATAATCAATTTTCTTCGGTTTGAATCTATGATATTGATAGGGAGAGCTTGGACGCTAAAACAGCTGAACTGACTGCTCTAAATAATACTCTTAACAAATGCCTAAGAGATCACAGCATTGTTCGGTAAACCATAACACTTGAATTTTATCAATACCTTAACAAAAACTAATATTGGCATATGATCATTTCCCCCAATCAAATGCGTTCTGAGCCGGCGATTTAAAAAATTCAAGAAAATACGACTCGGGTCTAAGCTGTTGTTGAGCCTTATTTACGGCTTGGGCTTTCGAATTTAAGTTGCATCTATTTTTCAACAGAATTTAGTTCATAAAACCGGTTTAATGTTGTATTTGGCGGATTTTCATAGTTGGAATTGGTGCATTCCGAGTTTTGATGAGAATAAGACCCAACATTGAGCCTTATTCTTCACTAAAACCAACCAAGGTCGGTTTTATTTTCATTGGGCCTAACTTCTTAAGATTGGGTCTTAAAGCTGCGTTTAAGGAATTAAGACTCGAGCCGAAGCTTTTAAATCGCGGGCTCAGGTCTGAAAGGAAAAAGCGGGAAGCAGAGGAAAAGGAAATGAGAAGTTCTTTGGAGGAGACAATTCAGACTCAGAAATCTGCCATTGATACTCTTAACCTAGACTTAGCACAGGTAGAAACTATTGATACTCTTAACCTAGACTTAGCACAGGTAGAAACTATCGATACTCTTAACCTAGACTTAGCACAGGTAGAAACTATTAATACTCTTAACCTAGACTTAGCTCATGTAGAAACTATTAATACTCTTAACCTAGACTTAGCTAGTGTAGACACTATTGATACTCTTAACCTAGACTTAGTTCATGTAGAAACTATTGATACTCTTAACCTAGACTTAGCTCATGTAGAAACTATTAATACTCTTAACCTAGACTTAGCTAGTTCATGTAGAAACTATTGATACTCTTAACCTAGACTTAGCTCATGTAGAAACTATTGATACTCTTAACCTAGACTTAGTTCATGTAGAAACTATTATACTCTCAGCCTAGACTTAGCTCATGTAGAAACTAAAGAAACTCTTAACCTAAACTTTGCTCAGATAGAAACTATCGATAAAAAGTAGGCTTAGTTCAAGTAGAAACAATCAATAAAGAGTAGTAGGCTTAGTTCAAATAGAAACTATAGCATTAATATTCTAAACCTACACATGAAGTTTGTGTCTAAAGGTTCTTCTGCCGTGATGAATGGTTTTGTTGCTGTGTAGTTTACTGTGAATTGTCTCAATCAATCATATCTTGTAAAATAACTGCTGTTCTCCAGGTTGCTGAGAGAATAGAGACGACTGCTAAGAATTACCAGGATAAAGATAAGATAATAGCATCCAAGGACAAAGAGATTAAGAGGCTGACCAAGGAGCTTGAGGCAGCACAGAAGAGTGAAGAGACACTGAAAGGAGATCTTGCAGCAACATCTGCAAGTTTAGAGTTAAAGCAGGTAAGCTGCATATAAATAATACTTTACGCTCGTTAAAATGCAATTAATCTTAAAGAATCTATTTCATGTACTTTATCATTCATGCTAACCTCATGGTAAATTTGTTTAAGTAAATCATTTTTTAAGCATTTTAATTAACTGAGTTTTGGCCACAAACTCTGGTTTTTTAAGCTCCATATTTTTACACCCGATGTCGTAGAACTTAGATATTTCGAACTATTAATTCTGTTAGATTAAATAATCTAAGTTTAAAACATCAAAGGTGTACAGATTGCAAATATGTAAGGATTAGAAAACTTGAGTTTGTGAAAAAAATCAGATCATTGCTCCATACTATATGCACTGTGCTAAAAAGTTTAATTGGTTCCCAGATTTTCTTCCAAAAAATAAGACTTTTCTTTAATAATTTGTTCAATCTAAATGAAAATAATATAGAAATTAACTTTTTTATCAGCTTTGTTAGAAAGTATATCAAATCTAGAAATGTCCAATGCATCTTTTTAAATTATCCTTAACACTTAGTTCGCAGTGTTATAAAGTTTTCGGCTAGAAATTTCAAGCTTTTTTAGCCCTTAGCTTTAGCGAGGTACAAAATATAATCTTAAAAGACAAACCTACTTTAACACTGCGAACTAAAATAGTAGTTTTATAAATAATTAAAAGCATAATTTTAATTTCCAATGACGATGAACAAAAAAATAGGAATGAAATTATGAAATATGTCCAAACTGTTCTGCGTTTTTAATAGATCATAAATATTATTTTTCTTTAAGCTCTAATTTTTATTTAGAAGTATTTAGTTATATTATCTATTTGTTGACATGAATCATGAAAAGATAAAAATATTTCTGTATCGTTATAAAGTATGATGGGTCATGATTGGTTATCAATATCCCCCTCCCTTGCTTTACTATGCTGCAAGTCATCAAAATAAGAAAGCAACAACAGAGAACACAAAGAACCTAACCCAACCTTTTTTTTATCCTTTAGTTATCACCAATCAGACAAACAATAAATTATAAAATACAGTGATATTCAGAAAACGACATTTAGAATTAGAATCAAGTTATGACTTTAGAAAATCCATTAAGCATGAGACACGGCAATTGTGCAACGTAATCAGCATCATTTCACATAATTAGTGATATAATAAGTGTCTAGTAAAATTAATTGCTTTGTTACAACATCAAACACACTTAAATATTGTTAAAATGGCGCCTTCCTTTTCCATTGTTTCCGGTTATTGCACTGTAGTTAAAGGAAAACCTTATTTTTTAGTATGGAAGCTAAAATATGAAAAAATGATTACTATTTTTGGCCATTTTGTTTCTCCAACTTTTTTTCAGAGAAAAACTAAGTTTTAATAAAAAGTTTTGATTACAAAATGTGTTCTAGGAGGCTGTAAAAGAATGTGAAGTTTCTAACCAAGAAAGTATTAACAAGATAAAAGCTCTGGAAACTAGTCTGGATAAGAGTACGAAGACGACTGCTGAAACTAAGAAACAATTAGAAACTACCGCGGCATCTCTTGATCAAGGTATTACTAATTTATTTTTATTAAATACATCTTCTGTCTTTCTAGTTCGAAAAATATCTCATGAAAAATGAAAAATCTATATTTTGGCATGAATTGCAAGGATTGCATTTGAAGGGAGTACACCCATCACCATTAATGGGGTTAAATAGTTTAAAAAGATTATGAAGGTGCAAATATTATGGCTATAGTTTCTAGATAGATAAATAGATGAAAACATTTTTAGTTTAGAACTCAAATGTTGTTAAGCACTAAAACTGCAATTTTATATTCATAATTTGCAAATATATAATCCTGTGCTGAGTATATCTAATTTTATATTCATAATTTGCAAATATATAATCCTGTGCTGAGTATATCCAATTTTATATTCATAATTTGCAAATATATAATCCTGTGCTGAGTATATCTAATTTTATATTCATAATTTGCAAATATATAATCCTGTGCTGAGCATATCTAATTTTATATTCATAATTTGCAAATATATAATCCTGTGCTGAGCATATCTAATTTTATATTCATAATTTGCAAATATATAATCCTGTGCTGAGCATATCTAATTTTATATTCATAATTTGCAAATATATAATCCTGTGCTGAGCATATCTAATTTTATATTCATAATTTGCAAATATATAATCCTGTGCTGAGTATATCTAATTTGCAAATATATAATCCTGTGCTGAGCATATCTAATTTGCAAATATATAATCCTGTGCTGAGTATATCTAATTTGCAAATATATAATCCTGTGCTGAGCATATCTAATTTGCAAATATATAATCCTGTGCTGAGTATATCTAATTTGCAAATATATAATCCTGTGCTGAGTATATCTAATTTGCAGTCTTGACTTGAAAAATGTCCAACAATGATTAATGATTGAATATGATGTTAGGAAAGTCCAAGATCTCTGAGCTTGAGAAGAAGGTAAACCTACTCCAGGGGGAGAAGGAAGCACTAAGCAAGGGTTCGACAGAAACCAAAGCTCTCAGGTTAGATAAAAGAGGAATATGATTATAATCCATGGACCCCAGCTTAAGAAGTTCCTTTAAAAAATGTTTTGATGACAAACAATATTTTCACTTATTTCTTCAATCTTGTTCCTTAATTCTGCAAAAGCCTTTTTACCTCCGTTAATTTATCTGATTGAAGGGAGAAGGTTCAAGCTTTGGAAGGAGAGAAGGGAGGGATTATAAAGGAGAACGGAGAGCTAAAGCAGAAAGTGGGAATACTAGAGACATCTATCAGTGCTCAGGCAAAACAAATTCAAGAAAAAGATGAAGATATCAAGGTAAAAGGAAATGAGTTTTTGCCACAAACTCTAATTTGTTAATCCTTACATTTGTGCAACCCGATACCATAGACTATGAATTCTTATAGATCAAATAGTTTGAAATAGCAAAGGTGTACACCACCACTAGATTGCAAAGATAAAGGGATTAGACAATTTGAGTTTGTGGCAAAACTAAATTCCTTTATAATTATTTTAAAATTAATGATTAAAGTAAAATTAAAATACGTTGTACTCAGTGGAACCCCTAATGCTCTGATGTAGGAAAATAACTGTTACTTGTTATTATCAAGCAAGGAGTATGAAATAGAAGGGAGATACAACTGACGCGGCCCGCCCTACCATATGATTATACATGCTTTACAGACGGTACACCATTTATATAAGAAATATTCAGAATAGGTTATTGAATACGTGGTAATTGTACATCAGAAAAATATTTCTTATTTAAATGGAGTACCGTCTGCAAAGCATGTATAATCATATGGAAGGCCGGGCCGCGTCAGTTGTATCTCCCTTCTTTTTCATACTCCTTGGTCTCAAGTTATGATTTAACAACATGATATACGTACTATACGTAGAAGTTCAAATATTTTCTTTATGACAGCATCAAAGAAATCAAATGTACATAAAATTGGTTATGTTTCACCTATCTCTGCCTTTGTTTATTCCCGCTGTACTTGATATGAATGAATGAATGAAGTACTACTATATATAGATAACTATTTAAAAACGATATCAGAAAAATTTTGAATTTTAAAGGAAAAACTAAAATCTCTGAGAATTTTTTTTTTAACTCAGAAGATTAAAGATCCTCTCTTATCAATATTTGGTACCTGTACCTCTGTGGAAAAATATTTGAACAATCCCTTTCGTAAAAAATACAACTTTAGTTAAAATAATTTGTTCTGTTCTCTAGAAAAAAGCTGAAACCCTAGTTACTGCTCAAAAAGCATCTACAGACTGCAACAATCAACTTACTGCTCTTAGGAAATTTAAAACATTAATTATAATATAAATTTATTATATTATATAAATTATAATAATCAGAATATCGGTTTTTTAAACTTCCCTAACCTAAAAATTTTGAATTCGTTTAGATAATATCATTCTGAGCCGAGCTGAAATTTTTGTAAAAGACTAAAAGTAGCTTAACAAGGTTCGGCTAATTTAAATCATTCTTCAGCTGTTTTTAGCTTTCCCGGCCGAAAATGTGCACGTTTCTGTCTCTCTATCTATCTATCTTTCTTTATATCTTTGTGTCTGTCTATCTATCTATTTATCTATATTTATCTATCTATCTATTTATGGCACGTCAATCTCAATAAAAAAAATTTAAATGTCTTTGGTATGTCTGTTTACATTTTATTTTATACCCAAGAATAAAAATTCAAAATTTGTTTTGCTCCAAATTGCAGTTTAAAGATTTTTTTCTTTTTTCTCGATAGAATTTTAGATAAAGGGGTGATGCCTAAAATTTTTTTTTTATAATATCTAAGCTTTTACTATGATAACCTTAAAAACATACATTTCTCAAGGATATGAATCCAACACCAAGTCAAAAAGGTGAAATAACAATATCATTAAAATTAAATGTTTTCTTCTGTTATTTTTTTTATATCTTACAAAGTTTGAAAATGAACTGATACAGGACGGAGAAGGAGGAGAAAGAAAGGAATATTGCATCATTAACACAGGTTTAAATTTTTTTATTTCTTATAACTTTCAAAATGTAAAATATAATTAAAAAATTTAGAAATTTGCCGAATTGGAAAAGAAAAGTGCATGTGAGGCTGAAAGGTAAAATTAAAAAAATATAGAAATTTAAAATTAATAATTTTTAAAATGATGAAACTGTTTTTAAGACTAGCAACTGCGACAGAAGCTAAAAATGCTGCTGCCTGTAAAGAAAGAGAAGCTGCTTGTTTAAATAAACAAGCTGGAACTGCTGAAGAAGCTGCAAATGCGCGGAAACAAGTTGAAGCATCAGCTGCTACTATCAAAAGTAAAACAGAGGCCTTGGAAGCGTCTACCAAGAAAGTTGAAGAATTATCAAATGCTATAAAACAATGTCAAACGGGAAAGTAAACGGATCTTGTACAATTATACTATGGATATTTTAAAGCAAAACTCATGAACAGAATATTTGACTTTAGGGAGCAAAAGCATGAAAAAAAATCAAAGCTGTTGCCACAAACTCATATTTTCTAATTTTTATATCTTTGCAATCTAGTGATGTAAACCTTTCAGATTTCAAATTAAGATTATTTGATGTAACAGAATTCATAGTTTGAAATATCTAAGGGCATACGACATTGATATAGGGATAAGAAAATCAGAGTTTGTGGCAAAGACTCAATTTCTTTGTATAATTCTTGCGCCTTTAAATCAAATCAATGGTTCACTTTGCTCAATAAAACATTGTACATAAGTCGTGAGAAGATTGTTTTTATACCATGCATACATTTTTTTACTTTTTTTATGGAAGTTAGTGTGCAATTTTTTAACGTATGAAAGTGTTTTTGTGCATTTTTTTTTATTTTATCTGTGATAATAAACAATACTTAAACTATGACTTGATTTTCTGTTTTTTTCCCATCAATATTTTGCAGAAGAAAAGTCTAGAATGGCGCAAAAAAGTAGAATTTAATCAATCCCAAAGTATGGGATCAACCTCTTTATTCTTCATTTTTTAAATAAATTAAATTTAAATTTCTACTAAAAACATTCACGTAATAGTTTGCACTAGTTTTAGATTAATATCATAAAATATATTTAATTTTTGTTAATGCACAATGATTAACAGGAGCCAGGATTAACCGGTAAAATTGGGACTAGAAAGACGACATTACACTTTATTCAAGGTTATAATACCAATTGTTAAAACAGAGGCTATTCTCACTACTACAGAATTGAAAAAGCGTTTTAATGTTTCTTTTTATTGAAAAATTGTAAAATTATTATTCTTCATGTTCAGTTTGACCCAAAAGTATAGTTAATAAATTAATCTTCATATAATCTCAATGCATTTTTCCCTCCCCCTACCCTTGAAGGGACTGCAAATTTGAAATGACCCTCAACAAGAACTCACTTAAAAGCTTTTGTCAGAACAAGTATAAATAAGATATGCATATTTTTAAATTTGTTTTCTCTACAAAAGTGACTTCCACATTTCTAATGCAGGAAAACATATAGGAATTGTGTCAGAATTAAACACTTTTTAACCTAGAAAAACGACAATATCTTCCAAATTACAGATCAGATAAAGGTTTCAAGGGTTTACTGAGTTGATTCAAATTATTTTTTTCCGTTTGACATAAAAGTAGTTAATAACTTTATCTTCATGTCGTCTCAATGTATTTCCACTCCCTCCATCCCTTCCCCCTCAATCCCTCCCGCCCCTCTCCCCTTTATTTAATTCTTCTAGATGCTGCTTTTTAATTAAACAATGCAATAACAACACCAAACATGCAACTACCCCTCACCTCCCCTTCTTTCCCCTACTTCTAGCCCCACCCTTTCTTTCTTCTCTTTTTCTTACCCTTTCAACAGTCTCCTCAGCTGGTCTACCGTTGTCCAGCCGCCCCCCCCCCCGTCAATCCCTTAGTATATTCTAAGTATCTTTATCTTCAATGCATTGGATGTTTCACCCTTCGTAGTGTGTCCAGCGTACGCCGATGTTGCGCAGTCGAGTGAAGACAGCTCCGTAGCTAAGACGTGACATCTAACTCTCCGCGCTAAATTTCAATATTTCGAAGGTTTGGGGCAGGTTTTTTGGGTGGAGGGTCTGATAAGCATTTGTCAATTTTTCCAAAAGTTTTGGATTTTATTTTTTTTTAAATGCTTTAGAAGTTATGAACTCTTTTCTGAGAAAATAACTTCTGTACACTTTTTGCTTTGGAATATTTTATTTTAAAATAAAAACATTCTTTAAAAACTAGATTATTTATCATATCTCCATTTTTCTTTTAGAAGTTTGTATATTTATTATAAAATTATTCTCATTAGTATTCAGACAATAACCATTCACATATTGCAGTACACGTCAGACTAAAGTAAATTGCAGTGCACGTCAGACTAAAGTAAATTTCAGTGCACGTCAGACTAAAGTAAATTGCAGGTAAAATTGAAATATGAAATGTTTTCTATCATAACTCCTTTATTTGAAGAGCTATTGAGAAGAACAAAATGTTTAAATTTCTAATATAAAACCAACTAACACTTATACTTCTGCGTAAAATTAAAGCTATAGAAGCTTTGAGGTCTCAAAGTTGTAGCATAGAAGTTACATTCTCCTTTATCTGGTTTGCAGTGAGTGAGAGTAATGTTTAACCACTCAAGAGGTCATCACTTCAAAAAATTGAAGTCAAACCTTATAGAAATCCAACGTTTAGAAACTGCTACGTATAGCAACAAGGCGTATTTTCCGGGAGAACATTTTTTATATTTTTGAGAAATGAAATAATCAGTGTAAAGTAGATATAATTTTCATAAAATCCTTTTATTTAAATGGTAAAACGGAATTTTATGAAATCATATTAGCATTACTAGAGAACTTTTTTTTATACTTTTAAGAAATTTTTTTTCTAAAAATAAAACTGTAGATAGCATTTTATAAAAAAAAATTTTTAAATAGTAACATGCAATTTTATGTATAACCATATAATCATTCATTTATGCTGTCAGTACATAATAAAATCTGGGGACTTTAAACACAATAGAGAGCAGTACAAATGTACATATTAAACTATTTTGCTCCTTTAATGTCTAGGGTATGTTAAAAAAATAGAAATTATGATAATGATAATGATAAGCTACAATGTTTTACAAAAGCGTTTAATTTCTCAAAAATATAAAAAATGTTCTCTCGGAAAATACGCCTTGTTGCTTTACGTAGCTGTTTCTATACGTTGGATTTCTATAAGGTTTGACTTCCAAAAAACTTTCCTATCTGAATTTTGTGTAGCTGTTAAGAACTTAAAAATGTGTAAAGAAAAAGCTCGAAAACAAAGAGTAGATGAAGAAATAATTTAATCTACATATACAGTGAGAACCAGAAAACTCTGGAATAGGAAGAAGACTTTTAGACACAATTTATGGCTTTTAAATGTCCTATATATTTCAGAGACAGCATTTGTAGAATGTAAACCGACAAATTTCACTTAATGATTTAATCACGCACGTCTGCCCCTTTAGTAAAAGTAAATTCAACCTATATGAAGCATAAAGTCTGACCGCGTCCACCTTGTTGCACCGGCTAGTCCTGTTCATAGAGCTAGGTACAGTACAAACTGGGACCGGAAAGGTTGACCCGGCTCGGAAATTCAAATGTACTACGGCTCCCCGTGTAATGTTGTCTTTGTCTTGATCTTTATTTTTTTATTTTAAAATACTAAAACGATTTCATATGTATTTCATATATTTCTGGGATTTTACTAAAGGGTGCCTTTTTCTATCTTTGCTTTTTATACTTTCTAAGCAAGACTAAACTAGTTTGCATTACTTGGCAGTCTGTACCAAGAAAGAAAAAGTTCTAAAAAAAGAGGCAGTAAGGACTGGTGATTATTATTATTATTATTATTATTATTATTGCATCCCTACTCCCTTTTTTTTAGATGTTCCGAAATGTAAGATAAACATCACATTTAAATTAGAAATCATAAGAGGGAAGTTACAAACGAGTGCAACCAGAAATGCTTGGGAATTTGAAAAAATACAAAGGAATTGAGTCTTTGCCACAAACTCTGATTTTTCAATCCCTGTATCATTTCAATGCGATGTTGTAGACGTTTGATTTTTCAAACTATAAATTATGTAAGAACAAATAGTCTAAGTTTGAAATATCAAAGACTTACACCATCATGTTGCAGGGATATAGGGATTATAAAATTTAATTTTGTGGCGAAAACTCAATTCCTTTTAGACAAAATAAAGTTTTTCAAATGAGATATGATATAAAAATTTATCTCAAAAATTTAAACGTTACGCCATCTGTGTTTTAACGTTCCAAATTTAAGTTTCAAGAATAGCTCCAAATTTTCTTATCTAAACAATTTTTCCCCATAAATATTCTATGTTTTCTGAACATTTTAAAAATGTGGAAACAATAGCATTTTGTTGCAAATTTTCTTTGAAAAGTATGAACATAAAACAGGGTAACCATGAATATATAAAGAGTATACAAAGAGTTAAACCCATGCAAGTTATCTTATTCCCACTGCTCAAACAAACTAGAAAATAACCGGTATTTCTAATTACATCTATAATCCCTTTTTATGTTTAATTAGCTGAAGGGACCGGCATTGCCCGTGGAAAAAATTAGATTTTTATATTTTGTTACCCGCGGGATACCCCTGGGTTCCCTCAAAAAAATTCAGCCCATTCGGTCCAGCCGTTTGGCCGGCTATAGGGAACATATACGAATGTCTTGTTTCATTCTTTTATTATATATATAAAGATTTATTCACACACAAAGATATAAATACATATATAAATGGTGTAGTTAAAATTTGTTTAAATAAATTTTTTTTTTGAAAATACAGGTTTCCAAAAGAAAAATAGAAAAAATATGCAAAATTATGCACAAATAGAAAACATTGATTTTTACTCACTACATAACATATTTACCTATCCTATGTCCTGCTCCTGTACATGTTACCTATCCCATGTCCTGCTCCTTTTATGTTACCTATCCCATGTCCTGCTCCTGTAAATGTTACCTATCCCATGTCCTGCTCCTTTAAATGTTACCTATTCCATGTCCTGCTCTCGTAGATGTTACCTATCCCATGTCATGCTCCTGTAAATGTTACCTATCCCATGTCCTGCTCCTGTAAATGTTACCTATCCCATGTCCTGCTTCTGTAAATGTTACCTATCCCATGTCATATTATATAGATTAGAAGGAGAAGGATGGATTTAAACACTCTATTTGAAAGAAGAAGTTTTTTGTAGCTCTTGGTTGCTGAATATCTTAGTAAATGAATATCAATCATCTTTAATCAATGAAAAGTATTTAATCTATTCATGACCGCTCATTCATCATATTTAATGTCCAATGTGAAGTCAGCTTGTGACAACTCTGAAAAGATGACATATCTGCTTTATTTATCAGCAGAATGCAGAATGCCGGATGTGCATTTTTAAGAGACATTTAAAATACTCCTGAAGGACACAGTGTCCAATTTCAGGGTTGTTTTTTAATATATTTTTATTACAGCAGGGTGTTACTTGAGTTCATTT